TTATTTCTTTTTTTTCTTTTGGTCTGGTCGTGGTGCCTGAACTCTGGGCCTGGGCGCTGTCCCTCAGCTCTTCAGCTCAAGGCTAGCGCTCTACCACTTGAGCCACAGCACCACTTCCGGTTTTTTTCTTTTTGCTTATGTGGTGCTGAGGAATCGAACCCAGGGCCTCGAGCATGCAAGGCAAGTGCTCTACCACTGAACCACCTTCCCAGCCCCTGTTTTATAATTTTAAAGATAAGATTATGCTTTCTGCCTAGGCTGCCCTGGAACTTAGATCTCATGATCTCTACCTCCACATTGCTGAATGACATCCATGTGCTACTACATCTAGCCACTGGTTGAGAAGGGGTTTTCTTGGTATTTTTGCCTGGGCTAGCCTGGAAATACAATCCTTCTTTGCTCTTATGTTGATCAAATGCCTGCCTGGGTAGGATGAGACTGGTATTTTAGGGTGCTATAGTCTATCCTGTCGTCCAGAGGGCTATCCAACTTGAATATATATAGACAAGATTTTTCAAGATCTTTGTGTCCCCTGACAGGTTGCTCCCCATTCTCCTCCTCCTCCCCCTTCTCCTCCCCCTCTCCCTCTCTCCCTCCTCCCTCTTCCTCCTCCCCCCCCACCCCTCCTTCCTCCTCCTCCTCTTTTTCTTCTCCTTCTCCTTCTTCTTCTCCTCCTTCTCATTCTCGGTTTCCTTCTTCTTCCCTCCCCCTCCCTCTCCTCACCTTCTTCCTCTTCCCCCTTTTCTCCTCCTCCTCCTCATAGGACTTTATTTTTCAGAGTAGTTTTAAGTTCTCAGCAAAACTGAATGGATAACACGGATAGCACCCACCATTCCTCTCCCCTCTACACAGCCTCTCCATTCATTACCATCCCACACAATGTGTGGCTCATCTGTTATAATCAATGAACCAATGGTGACACATCATTATGAGCCAAAGTCCATAGTATACATTAGCACAATCTAAAACTGTTCTTACAAACTAGTTTATTAAAAAGCTATTTATGAGGGAAAAACTCAGATATATATATATATATATATTATATACACCAAAGAAGAGAGAGACTACATAACAAATGCCAAGTACCACAATCCATTTACATTAAATAGCAACTCACTGTTTCATCTGCATTGTTACCTAGTCTCCATCCCTCACTCCATCTTCCCTGCTATCCTCACTCCCATTATGTTGAAGCACATTCTAGATGTCAGTGTTTTGCCAATCCGAACTCTTTTTCAAACAAAACATCCATAATGCCTATTAATCATTCCTCAATATAATTGAATATGAAAGTAAATTTCTCTTAAAAAATAATTGGCTTCAGGAGGCTGAGATCTGAGGATACATTTCAAAGCCAGTCTGGGCAGTAAAGTTTGAGAGATTCATCTTCAATTAACCAGCAAAAAGCCAGACTAGAGGTGTGGCTTAAGTGGTAGATTATCTGCTCTGAGAAAGTGAGAGAGCTCAAGGCCCTGAGTTCAAGTCCCCAGCACACACACACACACACACACACACACACACACACACACACACACACACACACGAGTTGGCTTGTCTAGTCAATACCCAAAGACCAAACAATGAATTTGACTAATATTTCTGTATCAAAGTTTTAATAGGCTATAGATCTAATCTGTTGGTTCTCATTTCTTCTTTCTTTTCCTTGCAAAATAATGTTAAAGGAAATAGTTTGTTTTATACAGTTTTCTATATTATGTGGGTTACAGATTATAGCACACCAATTTTAACGTATTATCTCTCCTTGTTGTCTTCCTCTCCCCTTCCTGGTACTTAGGGCCTGGGCACTAACCCTTAGCTCTTTCTCTCTTTTTTTTGGGGGGGGGGTCCAGTTGTGGGGCCTGAACTCTTGGCCTGGGTGCTGTCCCTCAGCTCTTCAGCTCAAGGCTGGCACTCTACTACTTGAACCACAGCGCCACTTCAGGCTTTTTTTCTCTGCTTATGTGGTGCTGAGGAATTGAACCCAGGGCTTTAAGCATGCAAGGTGAGCATTCTACCACCGAGCCACCTTCCCAGCCCCCTCTTTCTCTCTCTCTTTCTCTTTCTCTCTCTCTTTCTCTTTCTCTCTCTCTTTCTCTCTCTCTTTCTTTCTTTCTTTCTCTCTCTCTCTCTCTCTCTCTTTCTTTCTTTCTTTCTTTCTTTCTTTCTTTCTTTCTTTCTTTCTTTCTTTCTTTCTTTCTTTCTTTCGTCGGTCATGGGGCTTGAACTCTGGGCCTGGACACTGTTCTTCATCTCTTCATCTCAAAGTTAGTGCTCTACCACTTGAGCCATACTGCCACTGCGGATTTTCTGAGTGGTTTACTGGAGATAAGAGTCTCATGGGCTTTCCTGCCTGTGCTTGCTTTGAACCATAATTCTCAGATCTCAGCCTGTTGAATAGCTATGATTACAGGTGTGAGCTACTGGTGCCCGGCTACCCTTAGCTTTTTCTATACAACGCTGGCTGTACCTTTATTTCCAGCCTTTGCTGCTTAATTGGAGAAAAATCTTTCAGACTTTGCTGCCTGGCTGGCTTTGAACTGTGATCTTCAGATTTCAGCCTCAAACACACTAAGAACACAATCTACACTAAACTATTCTCCTACACCCTTTTTCTGCTTCTTTGTCCCTTTTATTTTCTGTAAACTGGTATTTAGAACTAAAGGCTTGATTTTTTTTTTTTTTTGAGTCCGGACGTGGGCCTGAACTCTGGGCCTGGGCGCTGTCCCTCAGCTCTTCAGCTCAAGGGCTAGCACTGTACCACTTGAGCCACAGCACCACTTCCAGCTTTTTTTTTTCCTGCTTATGTGGTACTGAGGAATCAAACCCAGGGCCTCATGCATGCAAAGCAAGCGCCCTACTACTGAGCCACCTTCCCAGCCCTAAAGGCTTGATTTTATTCAGATTTATATTCTTAGTAAGATCACTTATAGATGATTGTGTGTACTTCTGTCAACAGGTAATAATGTCTAAGTAACTTATGTTTGCCTCAAACTCTAGATCCTCATGCCTAAGTTTTCTCAGGGTTGGGATTACAGGTTTGCAAACATCACATAAGTCACTTTAATGTATATATTTCTCCCTCCAAATGTCTTTTTTTCCTTTCAATGTATTTTGTTGTCATGTAGAATTTCTGTAGTGGATTTTGCTGTAGCATTGTTTAACGTGTTTCTCTTCCCTATAACCTGAATAGTGATGTCTGATGAAGCTCAGATTTAGTGTATTTTCTCTATTAGTTTGCTTCTTCATGGCTGGCACGGTATGTGAGTCATGCCTACAGTCCTGAATTCTTGCTGGTTTCTTGAAGATAGTCTTGCAGACATTTCCAGGTAGCCATGAACTGCAATCCTCAAATCATAGTCTCCTGAATAGCTGGAATTATAGACATGAACCCCTCGCATCTGCCTTGATTCCCTCCCCCCTCTCCTGCACAAGACTACTTCATAAGCATGCTTATCTGGAGGTACATAGTGAGAGAGGTTGATATCTCGGAATAAATCTCTTAACTCATGGGTTGCAAGACAGCGTTATTCTGTCATTCTTTATTAGTTGGAACGTTCCTATAAAAATTCCTTCTGCTATTTAGTTATTCAGTTATATAATTTTGGGTATACAAATTATTTAGGAAAATTAATTTTTAGCTTTGCTTTTCATATTTTAGAACAGTTTTTTTCAGGTTTCAGATGTTTGAATAAGCAGGGAAAAATGGGGGTTCTGTGGGGCCATTGGCAGCTTGAAATTTGCAAGGTAGGATCAAAAGGTATTTGTCTTCCGCAGCCAAGCAGTTTCTTCCTTTTTTCCTCGGCAACGCCGCGAGTCCTCTTCATTGAAACCTCACAGGAGGAAAAAAAAAATCCATCAGATCTAAAAACCTTTAAAAAAAAGTTTGCTTCCCTTTCCCTTATCATTCATAAACATCAGAGGGTACTCTTCATGTTCCCACTTTGCATTGCCCCCCCTCCCAGCTCAAAGCCAATTTTTGTTTAATTTTGGAAAAATAGATGTTGATCTACACATCTGCATTCTCTTCAATCTAATCGTCTGCTCCTGTTATTTAATTCTGCACTTTCTGTTGCATATATTGTATGCTGCTTAAGAAAAAAATTTTTTTCTGCGAGCAAAATGGCTTTGATTGAACAAAACCGTTTACCTAGCCACCAGCCATCAATTGAATCTTCTTCTTAGTAGTCTATACAGACACAGTTGGGTGTTTGTTTTGGTTTTTTTTTTTGTCTTTACTGATGTAATAAGCTAGAACTGGTTTTTCATTAGAGTTTCAAATTGTATTTCTATTGTTACTGGTAAGTTTGAATATTTTTGTATATTAGCTAACCAGGTTTAAAACTGCTCTGAACATGGTTTATTCGGGGAAGAGTCCCGCCAGTGCCCCCTTGAAAGACAGGACGAATGATGAAACCCGGGAAGATTTTGTTTTTATATTTAGGCTTTGACCCCGCCCCTGTCTCTTCGGCGGGGGACAAGCCCTTTGTGTGTGCACTGTCGGGGAATAGAATCTGGATCTGCAAAGCTGGCAGAAAGCCGTGTTGCCCTGAAATACATGCCCGGGTGCAAACCCTGCTTTTGACTGCAGTGTTTATGAGGAAGACTTCCTGAGTCCTAACCATGCTTGGGAGTACCGGCCTTGGCCGAGAGCCTCTCTGCAGGCGTGGCTTCACCTGCTTGGGGTTTGATTGACCAGCCTGATCTCGCTGGTTCAGCGGGGTAGATGCGATCTGGGCGTGGCTACTTCTGTCTGGCTCTGCCCCTACTTTTTTTTTTTTTTTTTAGCCATAGCTATGGTTACCACGTCTCTCTCCGCCTCCCCCCGCCTCCCAAGAAGACGACTACCCATTGGCTGTCTGTCACCAAAGTGGTTTGTTATTGGTCGTTGGTGACACCCGGCGCTCCCCCCGCTTCCCTGTCTCTCCGGTCTCTTGAGGAGCCCAGGAAGGAGGCTCGGCTGGTGCCGCCGAGTCAGGGGCTGTGCCGGGACCGGGCTGCGGCAATCGCTAGCGGGTCATGTCGGCCGCCCAGGGCTGGGACCGGAACCGCCGGCGGGGAGGAGGCGCGGCCGGTGGTGGCGGCGGAGGTAGCGGGGCCGGCGGGGGCAGTGGGGGCAGCGGGGTTCGGGGTTCTGGCCAACTCAACCGCTTCGTGCAACTCTCCGGGCGGCCGCACCTGCCAGGTGAGTCGTGGGCGCGGGTCCCGGGTCCCGGCGGCGTGCGGGGAGGCGTCCGCGACCCGGTCTTGTCCCGGGGACGAAGACCGGCCAGCCCCACATGGCACCGGGAGCGGGAGTGCGGGAACTGGAAAACTGTCTTGGAGACGGTCAGAGGGAACCCGAGAAAAGTCTTTTTGTGGCGGCGGCGGTTGTGTTCCGCGGGCTGGACCGGGACTGGGGTTTGTCTTTCAAAGGGAGCGCCTCCTGTCTCGCTGACATTCCCAAACGTTTCTTGCGTACTCGATTCCCAATCTCTTTCCCCTACAAGATTACGGTGTGATCTGGTGGAAGAGAGACATTGGCGCCTAACTGTGGAAAATTACTTCAAAAAGTGCTCAATTAAGGACAAAAGACAGATGAGCGTTTCTAGTCGGGATTTTGGTGAAAAAAACCAGCCGAGTGTGCGAGAGTTAGGCATTCTGAGACGGAAGAAAGAAGGGGGGAGGGGGAGAGGTGGTTGGTTTAGGCAATGTTTCAGCCAGAGAACCAAGAGGATTAAGGAAAACTAGTTGGATTATTAATATTTTGGAATGTCCAGGGACAGAAAGGATAGTGGTGCTTAGATTTTAATGGGAGGGGAAGGTAAAGATCAAGAATATGCTGAGAGACAAAATTATGCGGTGTCTTCAATAAGAAAACAACAGATTGAGAATTAAAATTTTTTTCCCCAATGCAATAAATTCATGTGTTGGCCTGGTGTTTTCTATCTTTGAATTCAAATGCCTTAAAAGACAAAACCAAATCAAGCTGATGCATGTATGTAGATGATTTTAAAGAGGCCTATTTGAAAGTGAATATTCAATGTAGCAGAAAGAAGGTAGATAATTAAATACTGCGCCGAAAGCCAAATATTATATTGGACAAGTTCATTTTTTTCATGAAGAAAATTGTCACGAATGATGTGCTAGTCATTCACCATTTTTTTTGTGAATGATGTTGAGTTGATCATATCATGGATATATTTGTCTAGCAGATAAGTTTTCAGAAAAATGATGGTTTTTGAATTGTATTTACTACTGTGACTTATACTTCTGAGTAGTAAAAAATTCTTTGTTTAATTTAAAGATAACAAAGGGAATTTTGCACAAAGGTAATTGCTAATATTTGTCATGAGGTTATTGACGCATGCTGGAAATGTGCACCAACCCATTTATATTTACCTCTGAAACTAAAATGACTATTTGTATATAGTCAAATACGTAATATACCATGAAGTGGATTTGAAATGTCAGTATCAGCCTGGGTGGGTTAGAATTGAGGAATATGTGTGCATTAGTGTGAGAAAGAAAAAAAGGAGAAATCTTTTATCTTATCTAAAATTAATAACAACCACTTATATTTTTGCACTTTAGGAGATTAAAAGATAAACCTCTTAGAAACAAACAGTTTGCCCTCTGCCACTTCAGTCTGGGTCTTTGGTCATGGATTAATTATTACACCATGGGCTTCTTGTGGGCACATACCCAGGTTCCTTGAAGCTGATAGGCACAATTCCTCACTGTTACCATATGAGGGCAGTAGAAGCCATGATTTCAGATACTGGCTTTAGGTGTGGACAATTTCTGCATTCCCTTAGCACACAAGGCCAGTAATAGCCATTGGTCCAGTGCTAAAGATAAAACGTGTCTAAACTGTGAAAATTCATGTAGTGGAGGCATGTTTTCTCTTTCTCCTTCCCTTTCCCCTGCGGATGCTTCATTCCTCCTTCTTTGTGTAGACATCTTTTATTTTCGAAATTTGGGAAAATAGCTGATATTTAAATAGTGCACTTTGAAATTCTTTCATGCTAATTATTTCCCCAGGTGTTGCATTGTAAGTACTACCCCATACTGCTCTATTCTGAGATATTTTAAAAAATTTGAGGTGATGAAGAAGAATGTCTACATCTGTTGTATGTGGCAGCATATATTTTTAAGGTCTAACTTTATGTCTTTGACCTCTAATCTCATTTCTCATTTTTATTCCTTCTCTAAAGACTTCCATGTACTGGAAGGTCCCTTTCTCATCCTTTTTGCATCTTTAGCTTCCCATGAAAACAAAATGAATCATCCAGGTCTTCCTGACATATTTTCCCTTTCCCGCAGTGATGGCATCATTAGCCTTAGTTACGCAGCCTGAAATTTGGGTGTCTCCTCCTTTGCAGTTTTCCACGTCCTTATTCTTCAGGTGTAATCAATCACCAGGTTTTCTTTATTTTATTTCCTTTGTAGCTCTAGTCCCTACTGCTGTCATCTCTCACTTAAATCTCCTATAGTAGCTGCTGCTCTTGCCTTCAATTCATATAACACACAAATCTTTCGCATCTACAAATCTGTTCTCATCCCTATTTATAATTCCTGGCATATGTGTGTGTACATGTGTGTATGTGTATTTTCAGAGCTGGTCTCATTATGTAGCTCAGTCTTGCCTTAAACTCTTGATCCTACTGCTTTTGCATCCCATGTGGTGACATTACAGGTGTAAACCACTGTGCCTAGACTTTCTTAGCTTTTCATTGCTCATAAAATAAGTCAAGAATTCTTAGCATGATGTAAATGACACCATATAGTCTGCCTCTGTTCATCTTCAGGTTATTCTTCCATTATATTCTCTTGCTTTATAATTAAAATCTCTGTGTCTCCCTCTTACCACAGAGCCCATTGCACATATTAATTCATCATCCAGGAATTTTCTTATTCCTCATTCCATTTTCTTATTTCTTCTCTTCTGTTGGAGCTCATCACCCCCCACCCCTCCCACCCCCCCACCCGACCCCATGGGAGCCTGCTCTGACCTTCCCTACTTGATCTCTTCTCCCTCTGTACTCAGTCCTGGTATCATGTGAGTCTCCTTGGGCATACTTAACATTTGTGTGTGACTCCTTGATATCATCATCTGATAGTCTTTAGATGTAAATATCGAGTACATATGCATTTATACATTTATGTACATATGTACCTTACATACACACATGCACTTAAAAATTCTAAATACACTGGCATTACACGTAGATCATATTAGTGTGTAGTGGATTTGATTGATTGCTACGATTCCTTCTCCTGTGACTCCATTGACTCTGGACAGATAAAAATTCTTAAACATGCAGGTAGTAGATTAGACTGCATCTATTGTCCCAGTGCAAATGATACTTTGTGAAACCTTCTTGCCTTTCTGATCATCTCTGAAACTTAGTATGGATTATGGGGTTGCCTTATAGGCTGTAGAATTCATAGCTTCTTAATCTGAATGATTGGTGATTTCTCTGCACCCAGTAAAGAACAAGGAAAGTGTGCTTTTATAGAATAGTCTGCAGAGATAAAGCTCAAGAGCAAGACACAGGGTAATGAGATGCAAGTTACCATGTGAATGTGATTAAATGAAATGTGCCCAGCAGACAGTTAAACATCAATTCTAACACAGGAACTGAAATACAGAGAGGAGGAAAAATATACAATTGGTAAAGCTGGGTAAAAAAATAATACTAAAGTCAGTCTAATAAGTAAAGTGTAAAATTCAAATGATATAAAAGAACATATAGTAAAAAGCAGGTTTTACTTTCATGTTTTACCTGAGCTAATTGCCTGCCTTCCCTAGAATGGAAAGCAATGTACGTGTGTGTTGTTTGAATGAGCATTTAAAATGTTTATAGTCTTATTACAATCAATGGTACGTGTAGAAATTTGCACACAAAAGTATCTAGGATCTTTAAGATAATTCCTAGAAGTGCAATTGCTGGGTCAAAGGATGTATACTGTTTTAAACTTTGATTAACTGTCCAATTGTCTTCCATGGAGGTTGTTCCCGTTTCTGTCCTGCAGACGGTGTCAGAGTGCTTGCTAGCTGCTTGTTCATTTTCTTGGTAATGAATGGAGTAGGTTTTTAAACCCTTTTTAAAATTGCCTGTTTAATAGGAACATTTTTCGTAAGCATCTCTTTCACAAATAAATGAACCGTATTTGTTTTCTTTATTAATGTTCTTTGAGATGTTAATATTGTGGTTTATAGGAACTCAGGTTTCAAGGAAATTAGTTCTTAGTCTTTGACATATGATTGCAGATATTTCCACAGTTTTTTCACGTATTTTGACATTATATATACATTTTTTCCCAGCAGAAATGAAAAAAAATGCAGTTAAATTTACATCCTGTTCAGATTCTAAAGATTTTATCATAAGAAAACTCTTCCTTAATCCAATATGATTTCTAGTTATAATGAATATTCTTGTGATTTTTTTCTTGATACTTTTATTTTTATGCTAAATGCATTTATTCATAGAATTGCAGTGTTGATATTGGGACTCATGTCTACTTTTCCCCAGGTGGCTCCCCAGCCATCACAGTAAAGATTTACTGAGCAGTCCAGCTTTTTCCTACTGAGTTGAAGTCTTAATAAAGTCTTAGCCACAGTTGCTTTGTATAATTTATTACTAATGGAAAATTATTTTGTTTTGCTGATCACTTTACCTGTTTTTGAATTTAATTTTTGTATGATTATAAAGGTGATATACAAAAGGGTTACCATTACATAAGTCAGGTAGAGAGTACATTTCTTTTTGGACATTGTTACCCCTTCTCTCATATTTTACTTATTTATATGAATGGTCCTTCCCCCCTGTTTTGGTTTTGGTTATTGTGCTTGTTCATTCTTCTCAGAGTTCAGAGAAGTTTTCCTTATTAGCTAGAGTTAGGTAATAAAGCTTAGAATTAACTAATCTTACACCCACCAACATGTTTTGTTGGTGGTGGTGATGTTACATATTCAAGATAAGGTCTCACTATGTTACATGGGCTTGTTTGCTGTCAGTCTTAGGACTACAGGTGTGTACTCCTTCCATGCCCAGCTACCCTGTAAATATTAATAAAGCATTATTTGGAATAGTCAATGTATTTTTGAAGTTCAAGATCCAGCTGAATATTAATATCCTGTGTTCAGGAATAGAATATATGTTCATTTCTTACTGTCAAGTCAATAACTTTTTTTTGGAG